ATTTCTATCATTACATAGGCTGCAGAACTAGGATTTTTCAGCATAATGGTTGCACAATAATTTCTAAGTCTGGAATACTGTTTCTTATGATCCCTCAACATTTTAAAAAGTGCATGTTTCTTGGTCCTATACACCTTCCACCTAAAAACTCTTAATTTGAACTTTTTTTTTAGTTGTCTTTTGAAATCCCTTAAGTCCCCAGTCAGGATCATCAGCCAATTCCTTTTTGCAGTATTCAGCCAACCATCTAGAATTGACACTAACATTCTTATAAGACCAATGATATCTATGAGGGGGCCCTTTATACTCTTGACCTACAATGTTTTAGTTTTCCTATAATAACTTGCATATATCCTCCAACCACATTCTCTTTTACATATTGCAATGATTTTGTTACTATCATTTTTTTGGAACTTCAACTCCAAACCTCTAAGGATGGAATATATCTGAATTGCCTTCTTGAACACGTGTGGTTGTGAAAAAGGAGGCCTACCACAAATTTAGGATCAGCCATGTCTCTTTCCTCATTAAACTCAAGAAATTGTTCTCTATTTTCATCATCAGAGGATTGAATGACAGTTTCTAGTACTTTAGCATCAACAATATTTTCAGGCTCAACGAACTTACTCTCTTTCCTAATCTCATCAAAAGCTCTATACTGATAACTAATTAACTCAGCATATTATTGGTATTGTCCTAAATTAATATTGTTATCCAACCCACTAGTTACCTCATTAGGATCATCATCAATATCATAGCCATCACTTAATGTGTCCCCATCTAAGAAATAATCAAAGTTTGAGTCATATTCAGAAGATTGCTCACTTTTAGGTGCGTATGATTCATCAGATTCTGTTTCTGATTCATTCACATCATAATCTCTGGTTCAAGATTTTAATTAACCCATCAGCCCCTAAACTACCATTGTCATTCCCAACTCCCTAATTAGCATTCATATTGCCATTACCTATAGTTTCATTACCATCTTACTCATCCTCATTATTTTTTTTTCTACATCCCCATTATCATTTAACTCTCCGACATAGATATGAATGTATGGTTCATCCCTAAACATCCCAAACATTTTCATGACTGCTGCTTCACTTTTAGTAAGGCAAATTCATCATTTGGCATTTTATATCAAACTTAGGTATTTATGGGCAGTTGTAGTCCTTTTAGCATCCCCCAAATCTCAAATCTTGACATATAATTTGGGTCAATATCATTGAAATATTTTATATTCCAAACCACATATGTTAGTCCTGGATTATATACAAAATGGCCCCCATAATAGACTTCGAATAAGAACATATTTTGCAATTGCGATGACCACATTGGTATGCGACGAAAAAATAATAATACGTGTGAGGGACCACAAAAGTACCTTTATTGAACTTAGTTAACATACTATAATTCGTAATAATAAGCTTAAAACACACTACCAGACACCGACCCATGTTCAACACAATAGAATCTTGTAAAGAAAGCTACAAACAATCCAATTATAGCATGAAAAGGACAAATAACAAAATTTGGTCGCAATCAATCCAACAGTAAACCAACATAAGGACCACATGCAATGTATTCCATCACAGCTATAGAAATACACATTTAAGAACCCAAACTACAAGTTCGGACATCCAAATTCACACAAAAAGGCTAAAAAGTCTATTAAAGAAAGAAAAAAGTAGGGCTTTTGCATATTACCTGATTTGCTGAGTTTCTATAAAGATTCCACCTTGTTTTAGATTCTTCAAGCCGTTATTTTCCCACTTCTAGTCACCCTCTGTAGTGATTCCTCTTTGCTTCTTCCTCGATTATAAGAAAAAAGCAAAAAATTTTGGCAAACTCAAGAATTTTGACAGTGAAAAGGAGTTCAGACTTTTCTTTTGCCTTGAACAGCCGTCCACGCGATATAATGGCAAACTGGGATGAAGGGTGCTTTAGTCTATTTAGTTATTAGCTGAGGATAAAATTGTCATTTCACTGATAAAGTAAACGGTGTCTAAAGATCCGTTACTTTTCAATGGAGTTTAGGTGCAAAGTGCCTATAAAACATATTTCGGGGTGTATTGTGCAGCAGTTATGAAAGTTCATGGAGGTTTTCTGCATTTAACCCAATATTTTAAATAACTAGAATTGGTCCTATAAGCTTTTCTAGATTTTCAATTGTAGCTGTAATTTCTTTACTTCTTCAAATAGGTGTTACAAATTTAGTTCTAAGCTTATCAATTTGTATTTACAGCTTAAATTTGAGTTAAGTTTAAAGGGCATTGAATTATAGAATGTTTTGAAACAAAAAGTTTGAGAGATAAAGATTTACATTTTTATTCAGGTTAACAATATATTTATGTGTATTATAGCATATAAAATTATAAAATTTTAATTAATATATTTATAATATCATGCTACGTTGTTTGATTCTCTGTTCATATGGTTCGATTCTCTAGCACCAATCAAATCTATTGACCCGAATCATAATCTTGATTGAGTCACTATTCAGTCCGATTTTGAAAATACTGATGACTTATAAACCTGACCCTTAATCTTGGCGGAGTTATTATCTGATCCGAATTTGAAAACACCGGTGGTAATGAAGTCCATGTAACGATTTACAAGTATTTAAGATTAATCTTGTTGGACACTAAGCTGGCGGGAAGCCGTTCAGAAACAGAGCACCAACGGCTTTACAAATGCATCAGGACCTTCTACTTCTTCAGTGCACATCCTCCAACTTTAAATCCAATGATCTAAATAAGCCAAAATAATCTTAAAAATGTGCCCATCCAATTCTCTGCTTCAAAGATAATGGCATGGCAAGAAATGTGTTCTTCAAACAAGTCATTGCAGACCTCTCCCTGCCCAACTCATCACCGTTTGCTAAACTCTTGGACTCCTGCATCAAATCAAAGTCAGCTCGTGATGTGGTCCGTGTACATGCCCGAATCCTCAAATCCCAGTTCAGCCATGAAGTTTTCATTAACAACAGGCTCATTGATGCTTATGGGAAGTGTGGTTCTCTGGACAATGCCCGGAAGATGTTTGATGGAATGCCTCGAAGGAATACCTTCACTTGGAATTCAATGATAAGTGCATTGACGGTGTCTGGATTTGTTTGCGAGGCTGAGAAATATTTCTCTCTAATGCCTGAGCCAGACCAGTGCTCGTGGAACCTGATGGTATCTGGGTTTGCACGTCATGAGTTTTTTATTGATTCGATTGAGTATTTCGTGAAAATGCATAGGGAGGATTTTGTGGTGAATGATTATTCTTATGGTAGTGTGCTTAGCGCTTGTGCAGGGTTGAGGAACTTGAAAATGGGTACTCAAATCCATGCTTCAGTGGCTAAGTCTTTGCACTCAGCTGATGTTTATATTGGGTCTGCGCTTGTTGATATGTACTCCAAGTGTGGGAGGGTGGGTTGTGCTCAGAAGGTATTTGATGGAATGGGAGAACGAAATGTGGTATCTTGGAACAGTCTGATTACTTGTTATGAACAAAATGGGCCTGCAATTGAAGCGCTAAGGGTCTTTGTGAAGATGATGAACTGTGGGATTAAACCAGATGAGATGAGTTTGGCTAGTGTGGTGAGTGCTTGTGCAAGTTCATATGCAATTAAAGAAGGTAAAGAAATTCACGCACGAATTATGAAGTTTGATGGATTTAGAAATGATATTGTTATATGCAATGCGTTGGTTGATATGTATGCAAAATGTGGCAGAATTTCTGCGGCAAGGTGTATATTTGATAGCCTGCAAATGAGAACTGTGGTGTCAGAGACTTCTATGGTTACTGGATATGCTAGGGTAGCAAGTGTTAAGTCTGCAAGAGCACTTTTTAGTAGAATGACTGAAAGGAATGTAGTATCTTGGAACGCACTTATTGCAGGCTATACACAAAATGGGGAGAATGAAGAGGCATTAGGACTCTTTCTTCAATTAAAACGGGAATCTGTTTTGCCGACACATTACACCTTTGGGAATCTTCTAAATGCTTGTGCAAACCTAGCTGATTTAAAGCTGGGGAAGCAAGCTCATGCCCATGTTCTTAAGCATGGATTTCGGTTTCAGTATGGCCCCGAACCTGATGTTTTTGTTGGGAATTCTCTCATTGATATGTATATGAAATGTGGGTCAGTTTTAGATGGTAGTTCAGTTTTCCGAAGTATGGTTGAGAGAGATTATGTTTCATGGAATGCCACCATAGTAGGGTATGCTCAAAATGGGCATGGAATTGAAGCCCTTGATTTTTTCAGGCAAATGTTGAGAGCTGGAGAGAAGCCAGATCATGTAACGATGATTGGAGTCCTTTGTGCTTGTAGCCATGCAGGACTGATTGAAGAGGGGCGCCTATATTTTTATTCTATGGAGGAGTATGGTATAGATCCCTTGAAGGACCACTATACTTGTATGGTTGATTTACTTGGTCGAGCTGGACTTCTTAATGAAGCAAAAAGTTTGATTGAGTCAATGCCTATGCCTCCTGATGGTGTGGTATGGGGTTCTTTGCTTGCTGCTTGTAAAGTTCATGGAGACATTGATTTAGGTAGGTTTGTTGCTGAGAAGCTTCTTGAGCTTGATCCTAATAATTCTGGCCCCTATGTTCTTCTTTCAAACATGTATGCTCAACTTGGGCTGTGGACAGATGTTAAAAGAATCCGAAAACTTATGAGACAGCAAGGTGTTGTTAAGCAGCCTGGTTGTAGCTGGATTGAGATAGAGAGCAATATGCATGTATTTTTGGTGAAAGATAAGAGGCATCCTCAGAAGAGGGAAATATATTTGCTACTGAAGACACTAACTAAATTGATGAGGCTAGCTGGATATGTACCTGATGTAGGTGCTTTTGATGCTGATGAGGAGTACAGACCAGAGTACACCTCCGTAGATGAATTGAGCTCCCCTTTGCTTGCTTCGGCTGCACTATGAAGAAGCTATTACTTGTGCCCTAATCTTGGGTATTGCCCCTTATGACTTCCTTTTTCAGATGAGATGATGCAACAAATATATGAGGGCAGAAGGTGTTGCAAGCAGCCAGCTTCCTTCTTCTTATTCATGATCAAACAAATATAATAAGGACATAAAGTGTTCCAAGCAGCCTTCCTCTTGATGAAAAATATGCAATATACCTACAGTTAGTGCATTCTTTTAATGGTTTATTGTTTAAATATACCTGCTATCACTGTTAGGAGACATATATGTGACCTACTAGTTTTTCCACTTTGCATATAAATTCTTCTTAGTGAATTTTCTGGTGATACGAGATTTCATACTATTCTTTGGTTAATCCACAAGCAGTTATTGCCTTGGGATTGGGGAGGGGGGGAGGTTGGGGGAGGGGAGAGGAGAACCAGCAGGCAAACGAGACCTTATACCAGAATGACTACAGTGAGATTGTATGAGGAAGTGTTTAAACCAAGAATATGATTGGTGTCATCTGCCCTTCACCCACTGTTCTTTGGCTTTATCAATAATAACAGTGTGTAAAGGTCATCTGTTACAGTTGCTGCTAAGAATATCTAGGACATAATTAGAATTCAGGTTGTCATGGTCCTTTACACATCTAAAGAATTAGGAGTATTATTCTTGTCCAGTTAGCAAGCGAACCAGCTGCTTCCACAACTTCGTTTTTGCAACAAGATGAGCTGTAGAGTGATATGCTGTTACCTCACTCATTTCAGACAGATTGTACTGCAAGATACTCTTTGATGTTGGAGGATTTGGTTCTCTAACTTCAAGACAATTCCATGAAACCTTTGATAGGTAACTAAAAGACTCAGTGCTTCACAGCATTTACCAGCTAATCTCTTATTATTTAGCTTCTATGCTCTTATTTGCTTCCCCATTGTGTACTTTCTCACTCTCTAGAAAGATTGTTCTGTACTTTTAAAGCTAAAGTTTGACTTCAAAAAGAAATTGTACTTTCGGTCTTGTTCTTTTGGAAATACTGCATCTTGTCTTCTTATGAATTCAATATATTAGGTTTTGATTATGCATGAACCACCAAAAAAAAATTTTTTTTTGCTCGTTACTTGGTACAACTCAGTTGTAGAAAGATCCCATAAAATTTGACGGTGGAGTATAATATGCTTTGTTTAATATTCAGGAAACAAATTGCAAGTTCTTAATGTTTTTGGAATTTCACATTCAAATCATTCATTTTTTTTGCTTGTTGATTAAGTATTGGAAGCCCAGGTCCCTTTCTATGAATTTTAACTCTTTGTCTTGAAGACCGATTATCAAGAAAGAATATGATAAAACTTGTTAGGAGGCCTGAAAAAGATCTTATTCTGAATATTACCTTGATTTCTACTCTTTGATCAAGATGCACAATTGACTTCCTCAAGGGCCTGATGGTTGAGAAGTTATGTGAAATTTGCATGTAGTATGCTCACCTAGAATAAGACCTTGTATTCAGTAGGAGTTAGCAGAGAAAGCTTTTACATCCAGTTGGGATATTGACAATATGTTTTCTTATCATTGAGATGAATATTCAAGCTTTATATGATGAGTAATATCCTGGAAGACTGGCCTTCATGACATTGTTTTTTCGATCTCCTCAAATTCTTGCTTGCTCAGGTATTATTTATTATTTTGGTTACTATGCTGATTAAATAGTAAGCAATTCTTCACTTTTTCAGCTCTTAAGGATGGCTACTTAACCTCTATATGTGTGTATCTTTGTTGTTATGTATCACTTCATTTTCACTTCCACAGGCCAGCTCCCTCATTTAGGTCATTGATGTCAGAATATTTAATGTGTTCAATCAGGCATTAATTTTACGTGGAGTTATAGTTCCAGCCATGTCTCTACAGTTATATTTAAGCCAAAGTATGTCTAAAAATACACAAGTTGGTTCTGATATTAAAATTCTGTGGCACCTTTAAAATATTTCTTGTTAAGTAGCAAATCACTTAGTGAGATGCTTTCCTGTTCAAGTTGCTGGTGAATCACAGTACCCATCTAGAATGTAATTTACCTTTGTTGTGGTACAACTTCATGCTTTTTGCCATGCATATGTAGCTTTCCCGTGCCATGCTCATAATGTATGTGGAAGTAGATGAAGGCCCATGGTTGTATTGCTTCTAGTAGTAGTTTAGGTACCACATTTGCTGCATGTAGTCACCTAAGCATAAGCACTTACATGGATGGTTAGAGGACACCAAAGGAGTGTTGCTGTAAACACTGTGCTCTGCAGCATTAGGTTTTTCACTTGCTGCATCAGTTTCTATTTTTACCTGGCATCTTTTTGACATATAAGCATGTTTTTAGCACAGACATTAACTTTAGCATGACATGTCAACAAAATGGGCAATAAATAGTTTACCCAATTTATGCTTCTGGAGAGTAGAGCTCTGGATTCTCTTTTGTTGGATAATATCATCGTTCCAAAGGATTAGAATTAATAGTCTGATACCCAAGTCGGAAGGGAGAGCTTAGTGTTTCAATTGGATGCATATTCACAATATATCCACTGTTTCAGTTATTTACCTTCTCTGCATGACCAGAACTCAGTTTTGTTTCTTACATATGCTTTAAGCGTTCTTATACACATTTATAGTTTCTTTGAATCTTAGGTGGGGATGCACAATCTGATTTTTGGTGCTGTAGACATCAGCATCATTCTTCTAATGTGGATTTGATTGAATGGAGAAACAGACACATATTGACAACTGGTGCCTCTTCTCGGTTATTTCATCTGGTTGATGTGCTAATTCTGCTAAGGTACATATACTTGTGAGATTTCCAGAGTGGTAACATATATCAATTTGAATTTTAAACACAGCGAGTAGACAGAATTGAAATCATATTCCTCAGATATGATGCATTTTGGTTATTCGTTTTTGTGAGAATCGTTCTTCCCCTTTGCTAGCCACCATTTGTTAATGTGTAGAGCTAGCTCTCCCATATGCCTAGCTCCTCTTTCAAGCAATTTCTGCTGCAAAAAGTCCAATGTCATCCACAATCCCAGAACTTTATAAGATTGAGGCCTAGTAGTTCAAGCCAATAATTTCGTATTATTGTATAGATGTAGCTGCACATCCAGAAAGTCTTCTACATGCGCAAGATAAAGTAAAGTTAATGCCGCTGAATCTGATACCCAATTTTTTTTTTTTTTTGGGTTTGGGGGGGGGGGGGGGTTGGAGTTTTGGCTTCTTACAATGGGAGATATGACTGCAGAATCACCACTAACCTTCCTCCAGAACAAGTGGAGCCTCAATGAACTTGATCTTTCCTGTTACAGCAAGCCTAACAATGTGTCAAGCCCTCCTAGGATACTTGATTGTGTCAAGGCTTGCCTGCGGAGATTTCTTAGATAATGGCAATTATGATTCTATGCTAAACCCGGAAATATGATCTCAATATTTGGAAAACCTAGGTCCATAGGGGTTACCAATCCCAAATGTCTTAAAGGCTGGAGGCTAAATTTCTATGTTTGGCTTTATAGTGGAATTGGAACCAGAAGGAAATACAATACTTTGATAGAATTTACAAATTTTAGGATCAAGCTATGCAGAATATCGATTTTTATTCTAACTCATTTCAATAATCATAGAGAACCATATATTACCTGAGGGAATTTCATATCTCAGTTCCTTTTTTATGGAACCAAAAACAAGTCTTATAGATATATTTATATCATGTCAAATTTCAAGGTAAAAGGCAATGAAGGTGGTAAATTGTGCATAATAACATGTAACTTTTTCAAATTTATAACTTTCAGATCTGCATATCATTGCATCCAAATAAAGTATGAACAAACTTTCACCATCTTAAAACATAAACTAGCTGATGTGACCGTACAAGTCAATCCTTGCTATTTAGGAGAGTAAAGTGTAAATCTTTATGGATTATTTCCCACCACATATTTAATCTAGTAAATCACCTCCATTATTATCCATTCTCAATGTTTTCTTGTACCAAACCACCTGTCCCTTAGACCCCTATACTTCCAATTCAACCCGAGCTTCATATTTCTTCCCGTAGGCCCCCTACCACATTGTTTTCTTCTTCTTTTTTGTTTGACCATCTTGTGGCTCACTTTTGCTTGAGTCCCATCTAGTTGACAAAAGTATTGAGCTCGTAATTCAATACCTGTCATATTCTTACTTGATGAATTGCTAAAATATGTGTTAGTTAGTATTCATATTGGTAATAATCTGCATGTTTGGCCATGTATATTTGACTCTATGTACATGATCTGAGCTCCCTCCTGTATTTAAAATGTGAAGCCATGCATGTGTCGTTTTGTTGTTGCACTAAAGATGAGAGATGGTCAGTTATCAACTTGGGGCAGATATGTCGTGTTTTGATACAATCGTGCCTTCTTATTGTTCGGAGTGTATGTGAGAGGTTCCGGATTCGAATTCTTCCACTTACACCAAAAAAAGAAAAATTTGTATTTTCTTGTTGGATTTCTTACAAGATTTGATGTATATTCGTTCACACTTTTCCCATTAGATAAATAATACATAATCTGAATTTGAATTTATAACCCAAATTTTGCATATGTGTAGGTGCATCTAATCGTGATAGTGTATACGTTATCAATGTATATAAGATTTACTCTTTAAAATAATATAATATAAGTATACGCCAAATAATGTAAAAATAGAACACCACACTACACAATCGCCCGTAGCTTATTCCCGTTAATTGTCCATTTGGTGGCATACATAAGTAATCCTGAGCAAGGAATAGTGATCAATTACACCGTAATGCTCCATTTTTCATCAATGCTTTCTTTAGGCATTTGCAGAGTGAAACAAAAAAAAAAAAAAAAAAAAAAAAAAGGCATCCCTACTACAACAAAATACTATGAAATAACAGCTTATTAAGTTAATTCTCATTTGTATAAGGTATAAGATATTGTACAAATAATTTGTACGGAATGCAGAAGATGACAAACAAATGGTGGGATGCCTGTACCAAGAGTCCGTGATGGAAGTTTGTCAGCACTCAAAAATTGAATAATTTATGCGCTCTTGAATTTGAGACCCCTGCACCACAGGTCTTTAACAGCACAAAAATTAACAAGAAAGAAAAAGAGATGCAAGTTCTCATCACATCAAGCTCTTTTTTTTCTTTTTTTTTTTTTGAATTATAAAGCAGTAACAATATATATAATATCTTCATGAAATCCAGAATACCACAATGGATAAAAACAAATTAATGTAACAAGCTTTCAATTACAATAATGCCCATGATTCTCTTTTCTTGATCCTGCATTGTGATTGATGAGAGCCATGCAGCTTTTGAATTTCATTTACAGAATATATCAAACTGTTTATTGCAGATGATTTGGTCCATCTGGCATCCTTGCAGCAGGCAGTATTCACCCCCCAAGTCACCCATTTGTGGCTGAGTTTCTGATGCTTGTATGATATTTGTTGCTGTCACGAGTGGGAATCTTGGGACAACAAGATAAGGGTTAAGACCACCTTTAGCACAGGAACATAATAAAATGTTACTAAAGCAGTTGCTTGGCCTTGTCCAATCCAGAATTTTGTTATAGTGACTGCTGCAACTCTCATTATCTGCAATTTTTGACAATATCAAGCAAACAGTCACATGCATGTACAGGTAGTTGTTTTGTACACATTTTAAGTCAGATGGTCTGTTAATCTGAATTGTGTTTCTCAAGGAAAAATAGATGAGAAATAAAATTAAAAATCAAAATTTGTAGATTTAAAACAAAGTCTAACATGCATGTTCATGTATGAGCAACAAATGAAGTAGAAATAGTGTTGGGATTTGGAAGCACCAGAGCATATTCTAGCATTTTGGTAAAATAAGAACCAAAATCATTCCATCCATCTTCAGAAGCCAATTAGTCCTTGTTCTTCATCTTGCAAGTTACAAGCTAATTATATGAGCCCTAGGGGATCAATTTCACTAAATGATATCAATCCATGCCAGCCAAATAATCTGTACAGCCATTTCTCTGTCATGAGTTCCTGTGATCTTCACATGGGATGCTTGAATATAAAACATGATTAAGTACTGCTGCATCTCATGCACAAGGAAACTTCTAGCATGTGAAAATATATTTTCAATCGGCCAAAAAGTGTTCTTTAACCTAATCAAAGAATTTGAACAAATTTGTAATAACTGTGACAAAATTAAATCCAGAAAACAACAAAACCAGAGGACGATAAACAATGATGAGGCAGTGGAATTCTTATATCTGTGGGTTGGTGGCTCAAGATTTGGCCATGCAACATCAAAGACATCAACCACATATAGAACTTCTACACCTTCAAGAAATAAAATAGCCAATGTAAAACTATTCAAACTATGTGCATGATTGGTCAAATTTTGATCAATATCTACTAGCCATATGAGGTCCTAAGTCCTCAAAAAAGTAAACACAAACACACACAGAGAGTGTAGTTACAGAGAGAATGAGGGAAAACCTGAATTATCTTCAAATGAGAATCCCTTTGAGTCCTCTCTGGGAGCATCTGCACCTAAGAATGACATAGGAAATGAACCTGTAAATTATGATAAAGCAGATCATTATGGTAATATTCCTCCACCTGCTTTCCTCACCATAACCTACTTCCTTGAGCACATCATCACCACTCACTACACAAGCTCCAAACATGACATCCAAGCATCCAGAGCCGGAGAACTCATTGATCAAGAACCCTTCAAATGGATACTTAAACAAGGATATATAATGCATGAAAATCCAATAATTTGGTATCTCATGCTTGGATATGAAGTATCCTGAGAAAAGGAAGAATGATCCCATCACCCCAGAAATCACTGAATTTCCCACAATGAAATTTGGCACCAAGGCACTGAAACAAACCACCACTGAGTTTGCTGTATACAGAATCAGCAAAATCAACAGTAAAAATTGCATGAAAGCCAAGAAACTCCGATGTAATCCGACCAGCCAATATAGAGGAATGCTGAAAAGCAGTGCTAAAATCAGCAAAAATGGCAAGTAAACTAGAGCATTTGCTATAGCATATGAAGAAACTCTGTAGCTTCCACAAGAGGTTTCCTTCATCAGAATCTCCCTTTCTTGCAAGAATATAGGCAGAGCTTCTGTTGTGCTTGACAGGAGAAATGTTAAGATGAATGCAAAGAGACCAACTCTTTCCTCAGCACCAATTAAATTGTACTTGAGATCATAAAAGATTGAGCCTAATATTAGGCCAGAGATCAACATCTGTAGGCTACGACAAGTGAAAAGCTCCTTAGTCCTACAAATGTTTTTCCAAAATCTGTGGCTAAGAATTAGGGTCTCCTTCAATCTAGAATTTGCAAAATGATTAGCAAAATCTATCCCAGAATCCAAATTTTCCCCATCAATCACCTTTGACTGTTGAAATAATTGTTGTAAGGTGAACTTACCACTTCTACTCTGCCCTTCATCTCCTCCTTTCTTTTTCTGAGAAATTTGACGAGACTGCATTTCTTGCTGCAATGCCTGATGCTCCTGAATAACTTCAATGGAGTCAATGGCAAATTCGACAACGTTAACATGAAGAGGAAGCTCTAGTCCCATTACCCTCAGACGCAGAGAAAGCTTATCTACGGTGCCATGGTGCAGGACCGTGCCATTTGCCAAAAGAAGAATGGAATTGAACAACTTCACAATTCTAAAACCTGGCTGATGAATACTAAGAATTATGGTTCTTCCTCGTGTTTCTGCCATTTTCTTAAGCATATCAATGATCTGCAGAGCTGAAGTGCTATCAAGCCCTGAAGTTGGTTCATCGAGAAGTAAAACACTAGGGTCATGAATAACTTCAACTCCAATTGAAACTCTCCGCTTTTCTCCTCCAGATATCCCTCTAACTCTATCATCTCCAACTCGAGCATCAGCAACATGACTTAACCCCAACTCCTCCATCAGTGACTTCACCCTGGATTTCAGCTCTGCTTCAGGAAGCCTTAACCGAAGTTTTGCGGTGAACATCAACGTTTCTTGGACAGTGAGGAGAGGGAACAATGTATCCTTCTGTGTCACATAGCCAGAGATTTTCTTGAACCTGGACTTATCAAATGGCTTTTGGTTCACAAAAATGGACGCATCTTGTGGTGTAAGTTTCCCTGCAAGAATCTCCAACAGTGAGGATTTTCCAGCACCACTAGGACCAACAATGGCTAGAATTTCCCATGGTTTTGCTTCGCAATTTATGTCCTTCAAAACATGGCGAACTTCAGGGGGATTTCCGACCTTTGGCAGCTCATCTAACTCTTCAGCAGCAGTTTGATGCCTCTGCTTTGGCTCTCTGCTGAAGATTTTAAAAGGGTTCTCTACTTTAGGCTTGGCGATTGTGTAGTTGATACCTAATGCTTGAATCTCACAACCTTGTTTCTTCATTGAAGACATCATCATCTCCCCCTTGCTTTCAGTTTTTCTGCCCTCTTTGTTTTTTAACCAAATTAAAGAACAAGTTGGTGAGCTCCTTTTATCACTCTTTGGCTGCTTCTGTTCTCCGTGCTAGCTCATTTTTGGTCATTAGTATTTCCATGGCAACAGTTTTGGTTACAATTTAATATATACAAGACACTTGTGACTTGCTAAGATGTGATCATATGCACCATCTGGTTGGCAGGTGGTTTTCTTTGGTTGATTACTTCCTACATTGTTTGTTTTACTTGGAGAACCAATACTAATTATATTTTCAGAATTGATAATATATTGATATGATTATCATTTATCATGGGTTCAAGAGTTTATTTACCTCTTGATATCTTTTTACCAATTTATAGTTTTGAGTTGAGAGCAAAGATTGGTCTAAGTCACTATATGCTCAACTCATTCTATTATCACAAGGTGTTACGTTCAAAAGAATTTCTATATGTTATCTTGAGTTCTTGTGTGATACTTCATTTACCAAAAGAAAAGAATTTCCTTAATTTTTCATCTATAAATTCGTTTGCAGGCTTGATTTTGTTTGGTAGTTCACGTGCACATCTTCTTGCATGTATTCTTGTGTCATGGAAAATAGCATAGTTCACGTGTTACCATTCTAGTACTACCAGCTAAACATCTGGAACAAGCTACACTGCATTTGCTCTCAAGTAATCAGTAACTTGAAACCGCTTCAACAAATGAATTATATTTCAGAAAGAAAAAAAATTTACCAAGGAAAGAATATTTAGACATCTTTAGTTATCATTTTCCAGCATATATTCATATAAATTCCAAGGTTATAATGGCATATTTACATGTAAATCTAAAAGTGATTATTGGAGAATTGGTTCTTCCATCAAATTAATGGAATTTATTATTAAAATTTATTCTACTTCCCACCCTTATACAGCTAGCAGCACACATCACCGCTCAAATATCATTGTTTATAAAATTATTTTTTTAAATCTTTTTTAAACACGTTTTTTTATCACATTTTTATTTCGATATAATCACATTCAAGAATTGTTATACTGAATAGGGATAATTTCAGAAGCCTACCCTAAGGTTTCTGATAATTTCATTTGGTTCTATTGAGGTTTCAAAAATTACACCTACTTCCCTTGATTTGACACTCTGGTAACCAAACCTTAAAATAGGCTCAAAATTTTAATGAATAGCCTAAAATGTCCTTATCTTATCAAGTTTAATTTGTTCTTCTTAACAATTGTAAAGTAATTTGGCACAATTATATATATAAAAAAAAAGAGTCTCAAGTATTTCATGCCAATATTTGTTATTTGA